GCGGATCCTATCGGCAATCTCACCCACAATGACCACTGAGGACTCTTCGCGGATAGGATGTAACCCCCCCTCCCCTCCCAAATTGAAAAGTGTGTCCGAGTTCCCCCGCCCCCTGGCGCGCGGTGCTTACGATCAGTTGCTGTCGTTCAACGTCGCCCTGAACATGTTACGACGACCGTAATTATCCATTTTAGTTTCGCAGTTCACAGTCTTAAAAACACGAGCCACCTTTTTGCCCACTCGTAAAAAAAACCCTAAAATGGCAATAAAAGTGCCACCCAGCGGAGTCGTCAAACGGCAGGCCAGACGAATACCTTCTGAAATAAAAGCCGGGGAGGGGAGGGAGTGGAGGGTAGTGGTCGCGTTATCCGCCACGACCTTGTCACGACCCAGAAAAATCCATGCAGGTGCCTGGCCGAAACTTGTAAAAAGCTCCCTTTAACCAGAACTCACAGCTGGCCTTCTAAAGCCACCCCCTATGACTCACGGTTGCTTAAAATACAGTTAACGCGGGAGCCTTTAAAGCCATTCCTTTCTTGAAATGTTCCTTTTAAAAATAAATAAAAGCATGCTGTAATAGCTGTGCCAAATATGGCATCCCTTTGCACGATAGCTATGGAGAGAACTGGTCACTGCCATAGGAATGTGGAATTTACCACTACACCGGCCGCGCACCTAAAATTTTAGTGTTGGGAGACACTTTTTATTGATTTCAATCAATGTTTTGCCAAGTAATTAATTAGGGGGAGTGGGGGTGTGGGGCTTTAAATATGTTCCAGAAAATGAAGGAGGCGAGATCGCAATTTGTGTTCATAAAGAGACAAAGGGGGGTGGCATGAGAGGCGCTGTGGAGATGCCACTCGGTGGAGGGCAGAACGAGATTGGAGGGTGTGGTGGGGAGAACGAGATGTGGGAAGGATGGAAGCAGAGCGAACGACAAATCCGAACGGCTGACCCCCCGATGCAACAACGGAACTTTTCACATGGAACACGACGCAGATCTTACAGTTTGAATGTGTGAGTCTATGCTCACGTGGTGTAGGCGTATGTGAATCTACGGGTCTGTATGTGTGTGTATGTATGCGTGTAGTTGGATATCTGCGTAAGGAGGAGAGTGGATGTGCCGATAGAAGCAGCACGGAGTCGAATCTCACGGAGAAAATCCGAGCAGATGACCCCTATGCAATCAGGTTCAAGTAAATTTTTGTTGTTGAGAAACGTATATATATTTTTAAGATTTGCTAATTAACACGTAGGCTTTCGCGACCAATATCATCCATAGAACATGCCAATTCGTCACTAGTAATTACTGGCGAAACGTCGTTCTCAGATTGTAAATGTTGTGGCTTGGCTCTCCAACACACCGGTGTGCTGTAGTAGTGACGAATTGGTCACGTTCTGTTTACGTGACAACCCTTACTAAGTTGACTGTGTCGGGTGCTGGCGGGTTTAACGACACACATATTTTAGCGATCTAACCAAGAAAAAACCTCTATTATGGAAGATTTGCTATATATATTGTTATTCTTGGTTCTTTCCACACCTTTTTTCAAATTTTCTTGCTGTGGTTTGCACACCTGATGATGATTGCTTGTGTTGCAGTCAAAACGTCGTGAGAATTTTATTGTTTTATATTTATTATTTTATTGTTTCCCTTCTACGTGACTTTACCGAAAGAACCAAGAATATGAATCCCTGCAGTCACGAAAGCTTTAAATCAAAATATATATTGTTGTAGTTGTTGTCTCGGTCTGTGAGATAGCTCCATCAAGCCTTGCCGAACAGATTACAGCCTCCCCATCCGATGCGCTGGGTGGCATTAATCAACGCCAGACGCGTCGCAAACCCCTCCTCCCCCCTTCGTTTAATCAATCCAAGCGGCCACGCCAATGGTGGCCGCGTGGCTCGGAGGGACAGATGTTGGTTCCGCCGTGACCCTCTGGGTTCCAATTCGAGTTTCCAGACGGCCCGCGATTCAACCGGGTGTCTCGATTGCAGCGAGTCGACGTTTCTCAGCCTGGTAACCCAATGATTGAGTTAAAATAAAAACCAAAAACCCATCATTGAATCGGGTAACCTTTGGAACTCGGGACCGAAGCTCACTGGCGCCTCTTATACTTGAGCATCACCCACAGGCCTCGTGATAATGTAACAGAAATATGGCGCAAGACAAAACAATTTGATCATTATTTGTGTAAAAAAAAAAGATTAGATATTTTTGTTTCCACAATTTGATAAAAAAATTCCAAGCTTTGAGAGTTACAAGTATCAGCTTGACTGCCGGGTGGCAAACATTTCTCCCTGCAGGGAAATTTGGAAAGGTACAGCGCCCCTTACGTTAATAAGAGTTCACTCGAATAGATCTGATAAGTAGTTTTGTGATATCTGCTTTCACGGGCCGTTTTCGAACTTGTGGGGGGGGGAGGGGGGGGCGGATGCATTTCTCTGCAACAAAAAAATGTCCATGTCCAAACACAGTACACACGTTTTCTTCTTCAGCATCTCAAGCCGAGACGTAGGATTCATAAATAGAATACATTTGGGGGGGGGGGAGGGGGGAACACAAAATGTAAAACAAATAAAAAATTGGCGACATTAGGCGCCACAAAAATAAAAGCCAAGGCATCCACCCTCAATACCCCCCACACCCCCCCCCCCCCGTTTTTATTCTGCGTCTTCACTTCGTGTCTGGCGCACCAAGACATCGGCTCATCTCTCAAAACATCAAAGGCAAAAAAAACCTGGCAAATCAAAAGGTGACAGTAGCCACCCCCTTTTGCATCCCCCCCCCCGCCCCTATCATGCAACGTGTCCCCCCTACCACCACGCGATCACCAAACGTTTTAAAAATAGCACCTTTAAAGCACACATTGTGTGCAATTATCTTCAATACAACCTTACACCCGTTAACGTATCTCACCCGCAACAGCGGCGACAGCGGCAGCAGCAGGAACGTCGCCGCCGTTTCAGCTGGACGGTAGTGGCGATTCGAGCAAAGCGCTTGCAGGGCTGCGCCTTTGCCTTCGGCGATTGTGTCTCGCCTCGAGGAATGAACAAGCGGTGCGGGCGGGCGATAATTGAGAACAAAAAAACACTAAAATATATATAGCATGTGGTTGTCGTTCGCGCAAGTTTGAATCTCACAAATCACGAGCTGGGAGGTTGCCAGCCGGTGAGCCGGGCGCTCTGCAGTTCTCTACGTATTAAGATGTTTTCAGCCAACGCGCGAGCGTTTGTTATACACGTGGGGAGGACACCGGAGCGCCCGGAGAAAAATTCACGCCTTTAAAAATGTTTCAAAATAATTATATTCTGGGCAACGCTCTATCCCATACAGAAAGGGACAGACGGCGATCGGTCCACACTTTTGCTGTCCTGCATTCTGCTAGGCGAGCCAGGGGTTACGACTCATCCTCGATCCGCCCGCCCGCCCACCCACCCACCCACGGGTAGAAGGGAGTCTTTTTTTTCCAACGACGACGTATTCAGTGCGGGTGATCCACCAACCCCGCACTGGTGCCTGCCACAGCGTTGGATCAGAGGCAGCCGCGTGCCAGCAAGCAGCGTAGCCGCCACCGCCGGGCGTAGCTGAGCCAAGGCTAAGAAGCGATGGTCGCAAGTCGCAGGCGATGGTCGTCCCTCTACTTGCTGCGTTGAGGGCGCCGTTTTTATTCCTCTGCGCATTTTTCGTGAAGGTCGAGAAGACCCCTTCAGAAGCGGCTACGCTGTTGTTGTTGTTGTCGTCGTCGTCACGAATATCGAAACAGCAACACAATCCCCTCCCCCTCCCCAACACACGATGGCCTTCAATAAAGAGAAGGCGATAGGCGACGTTTCGGAGCAGTAGCCCTTCTTCACAGCAGCGTTATTAACGAACGTGCAAATATTATTGGTTCTTTCGGTAAAGTCACGTAGAAGGGAAACAATAAAATAATAAAATATTTTTTATGATTTTATTGTTTCCCTTCTACGTGGTGACTTTACCAAAAGAACCAAGAATATGAATCCCTGCAGTCACGAAAGCTTCAAATAAAAAAAAATTGAACGTGTAAATGTTTTGATTATTATTTGTACTTGTGCTCCACTGCCGACGCAATATCACAAAGTAATGCATTCTATATTGCCGCAGGCATTTAGTAAGCGTCACTACGTTGACATTGGGGAGAGGCATCGTACCGACGTTATTAGCTTGCGATGTAACAGTGACATCACTCAAGTGAGTTGTGATGGTCTCAGCCTCGCCACCAATGACTACACTAAAAAAGGCATCACATTAAAATCTGTTTTTTTCCCACTTCATTTTGGCGAAATTCCAACTCTGATAATTATAACACATCAACTACTGTACATGTATATCGGATTGAGTGCCATGGAAACATCAGTAGCTCTGCGATAGCTGGTTCACGGGCTGTCCACGAACACGGTTGCATTGTGCTTTGCGAGAGTTCTGAATGGGTACGATGTCTCGTGATGCCGATGACACAAAGTTGGAATAATATTTGAAGAAAAAAGATGATAACCATTTAAGAAAAAAACTATTTTGAATCTTGATGTTGAACCTTTCTGGGATAAATAAGAGTCCTGTAATATCAATAGTGATTGCATCGATTGCAACAGCTGGCTTGCATGGACTCTGTTGGCTAGCATAGCAATAAAAAAAATCCTGAAATCTCCTCTCACAAATGCTTTAAAATAAACACCAAAAATCTGAACCGTTTAAAATGAGCCATTCCCTCAATACAATATTGAGCTTTGGATGCGGAAACAGCGATTCGAAGACAAATTAATGTTCTACTGCCTGTGGCAGCAGCAGCAGCAGTCACCTAACTGACCGTCTGATCTGGAATTAAAAAACCATAAAAACCATAAACGGCTCGTCTTAGTATTCCCTCCTTATTCACGAACGTTCTATCGGCGATTTTAGCTTTCCGCGAATAGCCCCTGGAACTCTACGCAACTGCATCGAGAGAGAATGTAAGTGATGAGATCACGTGATGAGATTCATTTCACGTATTCAATATCATATTTATGTATTTAAGCTCATTCATTTAAAATATAGGTTTTTCGTGCGGCAAAAATCTTTATCCGCGAAATTTGCCATTCACGAGCATCTCCTGCACGTATCGCTGGCAAAAAAAAACGAGGCGATGATGATGATGTATTCCCGACTGCGCATCAGCTGTTTTCTGGGTTTTGTTGTTGTTGTTGTTGTTTTCGCAGCGTGCATGCCAGTCTCCAGAAATAAATAAAAACAAAAATGTACCAACCACACAACCCGCTTTGTCGCAGAGCATCATGCTGCTCGCGAAAAAAATAAAAACTCGCTGTAGGACAGATCTCGCTTTGTAAACGTAGCGGCCTGCAAAATGAACGAACGAGCCCGTGCGACCACGGTAGCAGTCATTGCAACAAAAAAAATATCTTAAAATAAACAACTGCGCTATGTACAAGGAAACAGGCCACAGTCACTCGCGGAACACGGGGTCGGCGGCATCACAATTGGCAAAGTTGCACTGGGATTTTTCTTTTTTTACAGGAGCGGCGTTTTCTCGAAGGCTGGTTGTTCAACCATCCGGACGCTCTATTGTTTGTTTATACGAGGCACCGTCCCCCCCCTCCGCCCCCCGCACATCCGATTAGCACAGTTGGCTACATACGGTGCAGAAGAAGTTCAACATACGTACACACGAGAAAGATATTTTCAGCATGTCAGACCACTGCTAAATTAAGGCTTCCCCCACCTACACACACCGGATTGGTCAGTGAGGGTCATTGTGACCATCTCTTTATCACAGTCAGAATATTCACTTCTACTGAAGGAATCCTATGAGCCACGAAGCTCTTTTTCACAGATGGTCAACGTGGTTGGTGAAGGAGTTGAGACACCGGGACCAGGCTCGGGAAACCGCTTGCCACCGGTAAATTTTGCCATGGCCGGGAATCGTCAAAATCAAGTCGCCGAAGTGTAACCGGCCAGTGCGCTTACCACCGCTCCCTCCGCTCCACTCGGTTCCACACAGCGAGTGCCTTTTTAAAACACCTCTCAACTGTTGCCGCTTTCTAATAAATATATAGTTTTTTATAACACACATCAACACAGCTGAACCTGGCCCGATAATATATGAACCGAATGAGAGCTTTGTAGCACATACATTGCATATTTGCGTCTTTGCACCATGCACTGCTAATTAAATACCTACGATATATAATAACAGGTTCTGATACGATGCTGCAGATGCAGTAAACAAAAAAAACCCCAACGGACCGCGTGCCACCTTCAGGTCAGTCCGGCAATCACACCGCCCAGACGTCCTCGCCGCTTCTCCGGAGGCGTTGCAACCGAATTATTCTGCGACGGCCCGACAGGTTCAAGTTGGCATTCGGGCGGCGGTGACCTCGCTGTGACCCGCGGCTACGGGAAAGGAGCGATCGTCCGCACTCGCTGCACGGGAGCCGCTTCTAATAGACGAATGGGACGGCAGCAGACGAAGATGCCCCATTTCCCAAGTCTTCGTGGAAATCTGTTCCGTTCCGTTCATTGCCATGTGTCAGCCTCCATACGACAGGTAGTCTCCACGTGTTAATTTGTGTGCGTGTGCTGTGTACGTGCGTGTACTGGGTGTGTACGTGCCTTTCCAATGGCCTCCTGCCGGTGACTCTTCGACACTTCACGTGGCCTTAAAGCGCACATGGCCTCGCACAGGCGCCATGGCCACATCACCGCCACCGAGTGATGTCGTCGTTGTTGTTGTTGTTGCTCTATGTGTACTGAAATATTAAGTCAGGTCTTGCTTGGGCGGAGTGCGCGACCCATAATCAAGCCGGCCACAAGTTCAAAATGCTGTTCGGGGGTCGACTCAACCCATCATCATCGTCCCCTGTGCAGGGCTGTTAAAATGAGGTACTGCTTCAGTCGAAAGTCAACAGTCACCATCCTACGGAGAGACTGACTCCGCCAGAGGAACGTGGAATTTCCACCCCTGGCTCTAGGCCCACCGAAAGATACGAGCACCATTACACACTCACTGGAGTGGGAAGACACTATGAGCAGATTTTGATGAACACATGACTCAGCCTCAATTGAGTACCTGGTGCAATGTGTGGACATCGCCACTTACACGATGGGGTGGGTGTTGGCCACCCACCCCCTCGTGTACCGTGCCGGCCTTCATAGGCGCTACACGCTAACAGCACTTGCCCTAACAGTCGGCGAAGGCTACACGGAGGATCTTTGCCTTCCTAGCAATACATATAACCCGATACACACGCGTGGCACGGAACGAGGTGACCACGAATTTTGGTCGCGCGTGCAGGCGACTGCCTGGCGCTGGCCTCCAGGCTCCAAGGTCACAGCAGAAAGGGCAGGATGGGCTTGCGGAGGCGCGGGTAGTCTGCGAAGGCCTTGAGGTACACCTGGTGCTTCTCGCGAGCCCAGATGGTCATTTGCACGAAGCCGAACACCAGGAAGATGGCAGCTGTGGGCGCGACACAACGCGCACGAAGTTCAGTCCGTTGTCATTCCTCCCCCCCCCCCCCCACCGGCACCTCCGATTGGCAACGTACGGTGCGAAAGAAGTTGAACATACGCACATACATGCAGGCGACGTAATGCCAACCTTAAACGGTGAAATTGTTTTCAGGTTTAGCAGGTCCTAGCCGAGGTATAATTTTGGTCACGTGTCGAGGTGGCTGGGTTGATGCAGAGGTCAGATCGGGTTCTCAATTGATGCACTGAAGACGTTCACCAATGAATACATCATCGTTTCGGGTAGCCTTTGGCACTCGAGATGGAAGGTCACCAGCGCCTCTTATACTTGAGCATCGCTACAGGCTTCGTGACACTGTAATTGAAATATGGCGCTGGACGAATAAATGTGATTATTATTAGTGTCAAATAAATTAAATGTATTTTTTTTCCCACTTGATTTGGAAAAATTCCAAGCTTTGACAATTTAAAAGTATCAGTTTGACTTCCAGGTAACACACATTTGTCCCTTCTGGGAAATTTGCGAAGGTCCAGTGCCCATCATATTTGATGAGAGGTCACGAGAAGAGATCTCAGAAGTAGTTCTGTAATATCTCCTTCCACGGGCCGTTTTCTAACGTGGGGGCGAGGCGGGGGGGGGGGGGGAGGATGTATTTCCCTGCAATTGAAAAATATTACCAATGACACAAAAAACACACACAAAAAACCGTGACATTATGAGGTCGCACTTATAAACCATCACGTGAACTCCGGTCATCCTCACAGCGGCTTTTGGCTGTCCATCGAACAAAGACGGTGGCTGCATCGCGCCCTTTGAGATGCGCTTTAGCGGCCGTCTGGAACGCTCTTCCCTCCGATATTAGGAAGCCACTGGAGCTGTGCACTTTCAAATCGAGATTGAAAACTCGTTTCTTTAAAACTGCTTTTCATGTTTAGTTTGTCGTCCTTCCCCCGCACGTCCGATTAGCGTGGTTGGCTACGTACGGTGCGAACGAAGTTTGATATACCAACGGGTTTCTCCGCTTAATTTCGATCAATTCCAGCTCTGAGAACGAAAATAATAGCAGTGTGCCCGTCGTGTGATGAGCAGCGCTCTCTGCAGCAGGGCGAGTGTGAAAGAGCTTCCCCCTGAATCTGTGGAACAGAGGTCACCTAAAGTGATTTCAGAAGTAGTTTTATGATATCCGATTTCACGGGCCGTTCTCTACAGCAGTGGTTCTCAACCGCGAGGGGGGGGGGGGTACACGCACCCCTGGGGGTAACGTGGCAATGTCCAAGGGGGTATGGGTGAGGTGATTTTTAAATGTGTGAAATGATATCGTACGTGAGAGAGTCACTGATGAAATCATCACGTATGAATTTGCCAATTAAAATAAAATGTAAATCCACACGGTTAAACCTACAACGATATAAAATACCTTTACAAACGCGTTCATCCTAAACAATGCGGGTTTATAAGAGTAGCCAGCGGGCGCAAACTAAATACGTCACTATACTCTTTGGTTCTTTCGGTAAAGTCACGTAGGTATAATAAATAAAATAAATAAATCACGACGTTTCGGGCGCACACACAAGCGTCCGTCCACCTGATGACGGACGCTTGTGTTGCGCCCGAAACGTCGTGATTTATATTTTATTTTATACCTACTTGGTGACTTTACCAAAAGAACCAAAGAGTATGGATTCCTGCAGTCACGAAAGCTTCAAATCGAGATTAAATACGTCACGCATGCCGAACGTCCTTTGTATTTCTCTGTCGTCCAGGCTTCAATTTGAAGCTCTGTCGTCCCGACAGTTCTGTTCTTTCACCTGAAGAAGGCTACTTGTGTTGTGGCCGAAACGTCGTGAGAATTTTATCGTCTTATTTTATGTTATTATTTTATTCTCATTCTACGTGACTTTACCGAAAGAACCAAAGAAGATGAATCCTTGCAGTCATAAAAGTTTTAAATCGAAAAATACGTGGGTCTCGCTAAACAACGTGTCGAACTCTCCGTCAACCAGCGTTGTATCATTTGACGCCGTTGTTCAAAGCAATATTCGGCAGGATACACGACCCCGAAGAACAACGCTTGCGTGCCGTTTATCTCTGTCCACATTATATCGGAGGTGCGCAGGCATTATTCCCCCCCTCTGGGTAAATAAACTAAATTAAAACAATTGTGGGTGCTTACTAAGGTTACCCAGCTGTCCGGGGATCCACCCCCCCCTCCCCCCCCCAGGATCGTTCCTCTTTTTGCGGAGGTAGTTGCTGTCCTGGGAAGTCCGTGAGTCTTTCCGGAACATTCAAGGTACTGCTTATTGTGAGTTGTCTAATCATGATGACGATGGTAATGCTGACACAGCACTCATGACGATGCATTCACATATTGTTCTCACCTCTTCTCGAATTGTGAGATATTATCGTGGCGCCACGGTGGCTAGGAGATGTTAACTACCTCGCCTGGTATGCAGGAGGTCGTGGGTTCAATCCCTACCCTGATGCCTGCTGTACAATGTTTGGAGTTTGCATCTCTCTCTCTCTCTCTCCCCGTGGTTGCGTGGATTTTCCTCCGGGTTCTTCGGGTTTTCCCTCCACATTTATAAGCATCACGCGTTTAGAATATTTGGCTGCGATACATTTCCACGCGATAAGCGACTTCATTGAGCTATCATTTGTGGCCAGGTCGCTTCTGCAAAAAGGGCTATATAGCTACCTGGTTAAAATAAAAAAAATTGTTTCGTTTTAAACTTCATGTACTCATGATATCTCCCAGTTAAATGTTGTATGCTCTGCTTCACGGAGTGGCTCTCTGTCATCAAATTTCCGTCATGATCTCATGCGTGAATTCCTTTGAGCACAAAAATACACCAAAGCTGCCCCCCCTTTTTTTTGTTTGAACAAGAAAATAATTGCAAAGTGTGTGCCTCGGTAGTTTGGGGTACGCACGCACGCACGCTCGAGAGAGAGAGGTCTCACCTGCGACAGTCTGGGTCATGATGGAAAATCCAAACCAGGCTCCAATCTGCAGCGCACAGCAGCCAGCAACAATCACCACCGCGTCATCGACGAAGCGAAAATAAAAAATTACGCGAGCACAGAACTTCGTAGGAGCATCCTGCTGTACATTTGTTTCCAGCCTTTCGCCTTGTGTAATCGCGAGGCCGCAATAAATCCTCGCCACTTGGTCATCGCTAGACAAACCGGTTCTTTGCGGCGTAAGTGCAATTTCTGGCTCCGAGTGCAAGGCATACATTGGGTTGTACGGCGCTGTAGGGAGGACAATGTCAGCCCATCATAGAAAGTTTGCTGGGGGGGTAGCTGGGGCTGGAGGGGCGACGGGAGGCTGGGGGGTGGGGGGACAGAGCTGAGGCTGGAGAGATTTAATAAACCTGCGCCGTTGTTTCCACTGCCCGGTGCCGCCAAATCGAACCGGTGACCTCTCGATTTGCAAGCCCGGCTGCGTGCTAACCGCGACACCACGCGCACACGGCAAGCATCCCAACTGCACGAAAGTGGCCGTCGACATAACGCCAAATCGTTCCGTGCTCATGAAATAGTCGATACCGATGCCACCACCAAGGGTGCGCTAAAAATGCCCCAGGGCCAACAGATCATCCGCCGCGTAACAAAACAACAAATATAAACGCCCGATGCGTTTGCTCGCCCACTTGTTAACGAGCGCCTTTAAGACCCGCCACCAAAATGCAACGTCTGTCAGCGGAGCCAATAATAAGAATTATTATACAACGGCGAGAAGAAGAAGAAACCCCACGTGGCGAGTCCATTCAAGTATTTTAATTGAGGCCCCACGTGTGATCGACCTCAAACGCTTCGAATGAGCCCTCTCCCTCACCAGCCCCGCCCCCTCTCTCCCTCACCAGCCCCGCCCCCTCTCTCCCTCACCAGCCCCGCCCTGCTCCCCCGCACCCCGCCCCCTCCCTCTCCCGCCCCCCGCCCCCTCCTCCTTCCCCTGCCTCCCCCACACCCCCCATCCTCTAACCCTCCTCCCTCACCCACTCCCCTTCCTCCCCCGCCCCCTTCCTTCCCCCGCCCCCTCCTCCCTCCCCCGCCCCTCCTCCCTCCCCCGCCTCCTTCCTTCCTCCGCCCCCACCTCCCGCCCCCACCTCCCTCCTCCCCTCCCTCCCACTCCCACCCCCTCCTCCGCCCCCCTCCCTCCCACCCCCACCCCCTTCCTCCCTCCCCCGCCCCCTTCCTCCCTCTCCCACCCCTCCTCCCTCCCCGCCCCCCTCCTTCTCCCGCCCCCACCTCCCTCCCTCCCCCCGCCCCCCCCCCCACCGTTGAGACGAGAGAGTTTAGATTGCGTTGCTGCGCTTAGACTCGTGGGGATGTAGAATCACGGGGTGGTGGGCGCAAACGAGGTTTCAAATCTCGACCCCGAGCATGCAGCAGCCACGGGTCCAAGGGGACACGGGCAGCGAGATGACTTTTGCCTGCGCGCGGTAACACGGTTGACACCCTCTTTGCGCAACCTTCACGTGAGGACACGTAGCATCTCGTGACATTGACGCGGCCTCGTAATAAGTGATCGTTTTTTGCGAACGCGAAATCGCGTGACTGCTTATATGGGGTCTAGCAGGGCCCGGCCATTGGAACACTTTGGGGAAGTTCAGGGCTGCAACCTCAAGGTCAGTAAAGGGAGTCACTGACCATGTATATTTTGTAATTATGTCAAATGAATCATTAAGAATGTTGGCTTTTATGTACCAAAAACATGGTTGGGTCTCAAGACTGTAGTTTTATGTGGGTGTAATATAGACCGTGATGATGAACCTATTTCATTAATTATTGGGGGGGGGGGGGGGGGGGGGGGGGGGTTGCGTCTGGGAGTTGTTCACGGAGAAAACCCAATCGTACGAGAGGGTTCACGCTCAAAGATCTCTGCTTGATGAGCTCACCCATTAACCCGCTTGCTGTACTGCCAGCCACTGGCCGCCTTGCAGCCAGCCGGGTTTAGGAGTTTCACGAATCTCGATGCGAATTGGATTACAGGCCTCGGGCTTTTTCAACTGAATCCTGAGCTTTTCAGATACGTATAAGCAAAGGTCATTCACTGTCTATAGCGAATCTTCTACCTCTTTATATGCGTGTGGTTTGAGTTTGCAATCAACATCCAAATTTGAAATCCAGTTTGTTGCTTTGGCGTAAGGGATTAGGTGGCTTTAAGCAAAGCAGCCTAAACAAGAGCGCAGGGCCCTTAAACAGCTCAATGGGCATTCATGAACAAAATTTCGATTGCCCAAATATCAACTCGAGTTTAGATCCTAATAAGCATAAAAAGCCATCACGTAAAAAACGTGCTAATTAATCTCTCTCATCTCTATCTTGCCTCTTTTCTCACCTCATTAAATCTCTCTCATATTCTTGGTTCTTTCGGTAAAGTCACGTAGAAGGGAAATAAAGAAACAAATATTGCTGTGGTTTTCACACCTGATTATGATTGCTTGTGTTGCAATCGAAACGTCGTGAAAATTTTATTATTTTATTATTTCCCTTCTACGTGACTTTACCGAAAGAACCAAGAATATGAATCCCTGCAGTCACGAAAGCTTTAAATCGAAATTTAAATCTATCTCATTTCATTTCACATCTCTCTGATCCGTGACTTTTTGTCCGCATTTCTCTTGCCCTGCTACACCCACCACCTCTTACCGTCTGTCTTGCCTTCGCTGGGAGTTTATAAATAAAAAAAAAATCGGGGACTCCCGGCCCCCAATGGGCCTTGCCCACCACTGACCTCGTATGTGTAGTTGGGACAGGAGATGAACACGAACGGCCACGTGAAAGGATTCATGGTCGGCATCGGATACTGACGCAGCCTGTACACTGTGTGTGGGACAACATCTCCAATTAGCACGGTTGGCTACGTACGGTGCGAAAGAAGTTCAACACATCGGTACGTACACAGAACAACAACACACATCAGAAGGAGCGGTCACACATACTGTGTGCAGCACAACAACAACAACAACACACACCAGGAGGAGCGGTCACACGGAACACACAGGGTCAGCGGCAATTGAAAGGAATTAGCAGTCATACCACTCCGTCATCACCGGCCATTTTCAGCCGCCTCTCAATGTTATTTCTCTTACACGCAACGCAGGAGCAAGGAGGGCAGGTCACCGAGACGGGAGATTAAGTGGCAGCCTGGTCTTGGCTGTCAAGTGCAAGACCTAAATGCCAAACGGTGGCGATCACGGGATTGTAAGAGCAAACCTTGGTGGCCGGGTTTCAGCTGTGCGGCAGCTGCAGAATCTGTAAGAGGGAAGGACGTGATGGCAACATGCGGTGGCATCAGTGGCGATAAGCTTGACAACCTCGAGACCGTGACCTTGACTGCAGCGGGATGGTTGGCCAATTCCTTAAAATAATTATATAGTTTATGTATCTATCCGAAAAGGACTCATCGAGTTCGATGGCTTTATTTAAAGGAGAGTCCTGCTTTGGGATATTTTACCGATTCCATTTTCATTGAGCGTTTTTTGCACGTGGGAGGAAACTGGAGTTCGCAGAGAAAATCCCACCACACACAAAGACAAAGATTCCCCATAGAGACTCAACGGACTGATGGGGCAAGTGCTGTTAGCGAGCACTTATGAAGGGCCGGGACGGTACACGAGGGGGTGGATGGTCAGCACCACGCCCGTCCGCTTTTGTCTTCCACATAGCAATGTTTACACACCACACCAGGTAGTAATTTTGAGGCTGAGTCGCCCTAGGGGAGGCACAAGACCGGTTCAAATAATCGTCACTCGTGTTGGCCCATGAATGGGAATCGAACTCGGGCAGTCGGGTTCGTAGCACAGCGCGCTAAACTGCTGCGAGAGGGGTTCACGCTGAAAAGGACCACACGGGCGTGCCACCTTCTTGCTGGTCACCTCTGCCAGTCCCAGCTGGTCTGGAAAGTTTCACAAAATCCGCGCGAAAACCCACCGGCGGCGCCGCATCACAGGCGCGCGGCTTCCAAGCCAGGTGCAGGTGGCTCAGCACGCCGGTGGCAACGGTGACGATGGGCGAAGGGAATGCAATGGAGGGGCCTCTTGCCCAATTTCCATCCCACCCTCCCACCTTCCCGCTCCGTAGTCTCGCACCTCAGGCCCCTGCTGCCCGTGCGTCCCGGGTGCAGTTACAAAATGATGAGATTATTTTTTTAGAAGCGACCCGGCTATCACAAATGATAGCCCGACGAAGTGGCTTCTATGGGGTGGAAATTCCTTGCGGCCAAATACTCTAAACGCGTGACGTTGGTTCGAAATGCGGGAGGGGAAAACCGGAGGACCCGGAGAAAAATCCACGCGACCACCACGGGGAGAGAGCTTGAGAGACACGCAAACAAAAAAAATATTGGCGTCAGGGTTGGGATCGAACCCACGACCTTCTGTATACCAGGCGAGGTAGTTAACATCTCCTAGCCACCGTGGCGCCCCAGTTGCACCGCCTGTACACTCGCCAGCTACTCCACTGGCCTGGTGATGTTCTTGCAATGCGAGAGCAACACCAGAGTGGGCGGAAGTCAGCTGTTGCTGCTGCTGCAGCTGTTGTTGTTGTTTACGTGGTTGTTGTTGTTTACGTGGTGGCGAGCCCTGGGTATGGTCGCCACTCACCGGAACTCTGCTGGTCCCGGAGCGTCACGTGGATGAAGTAGTTGCCGATCTCGCACACCTGCACGCAAAGCAACGTAGACGTGGCAACCGCCGTGGAAACCACGGCAATCACCATGGGGATGGAGGAGCTTAGTTTAACACGTCGTCGGAGGCTTTCGCGACCAATATTATCCATAAAAAAGGTTTTTTTTGGGGGGTTAGAATGCGTCAATATTAATGTGTCGTTAACCCACCACCACCTGATACAGCCAATTAGAAAGGTTTGTCACGTAAACAAAACGTGCCAATGAGTTACTACTTCAGCACACCAGTGTGTCGGAGAGGAAACATTGAAATGTTGTGGGGTTACACTCCAACACACCACCACTCGCTCCACACACAGTCAAATCAGGCATGCAAATATCAATTGCCACACAGCATTTGTGAAGGATGTCACTCTCTGTGGCCCAGTCTGGCTCTCCCTCTCAACCCCCTCCCCAAACCCCACCGACTATCACGCTCTCGGCTTCAGAATTAGGATGTCACGGTGGCTAGGAGATGTTAACTACCTCGCCCGGTATACAGGAGGCCGTGGGTTCAATCATGCCCCTGATGCCTGCTGTATATTTGGAGTGTGCGTCTCTCTCGACGTGGTCGCGTGGATTTTTCTCCCGGGGCCTCCGGTTTTTCCCTCCACATTTAGAATCAACATCACCACGCGTTTAGAGTCTTTGGCTGCTGTAAATGTCCACACGATGAGCGACTTTGTTGAGTTTTCAGTTGTGGCCAGGTTGCTTCTGAAAAAAATAGCTACACAGCTCAGTGACCCTTACCTGGTAAAATACAAATAATGGCTTAGTTTAGAATCCACAGACTTCACGGAAGCCGAGTTGAGTTAGTCGTGAACGTTCAGGCTTGCATGATTCTCATAAACAGGACTGTTCGTCACGCGTGACCTCGCGTGATGCGCTGCCACGGAGGAACGCTGCACTGGAGCACGTGGGGCCACATGGCCCCACGTGCTGAGCTACAACGGGGGAGGTGAGGGGGGGATGGAGATTGGGCAGGAGGCCGGGGAGTATAGTAGGGCACAACAATGATCGATTCTGCACTGCCCTCTGCTGACATTGTTGTAGCAGCTAGAAGTTCACTGGACCTCCTCCTGCACTGTCAAGTTTTTTGAAGCTCAAGTAAACTCGTGAAGTGTGGCGACGGAGCGATCTCACGAAGCGCTTCATGCACGTGTGGCCGACCCGCCCGCGTTCGATTTGGTCTGAACGATGTTTCGATCGCGAGGTGGGTGCCTTCAGACAGCGCCCGCCCCCCCGTGCCCCCCTCCTCACCTGCCCCCCCCCCACTAAGATTGATTAAATTATAAGTGAGACAATTTGTAATGTACTCGGTTATTTCGCACCAGATGGCATTCAAAGACAAAGATCCCCCGCATAGCCTTTGGGGCAATTGCTGTGAGGGAGCACCAATTAAGGTTGGCACGCGAGGGGGTAGGTGGTCAACACCACATTGGGCCGCCTTTGTCTCCCCAGTGCTGATGTTTACACACCGCACCAGCCACTCATTTAAGGCCGAGCCGACCTAGGAGAGGTCCAGCACAGGTTCAGATAATCGCCACCGATGTTGGCCATGAACGGGCATCGAACTAGGGCAGACATGGGCAAAGTACGGCCCATTGGGCTTTTTAATCCGGCCCGCCGAACTTGTACAAATATTATTATTAAATTAAATTTTACCTTTCTCCTGTAATACCCCCATTTCCCCATTAGATGACGCACTTTGACCGGGAGTTACGACATGTTTTTGTATTGTTCATGTTCGTGCAATTTGTTAAATTTCCTTGCAAATAAATGCTTTGCTACCTGTTAAAGGCCAAATCCTTTCATGTAATGATGTTTACATGTCATTTATATTAGTTCCACACAAACACTCCAGCCATCTGTTCCTGGCCCGGCCCCTCCGTCAAATTTTAGAACCCATTGTGGCCCGCGAGTAGAAAAATTTGCCCACCCCTGAACTAGGGCCACCAGGCTCGCAGCGCGGCCTGCTTACCGCTCCGCCACCGCCCCCCACATCGCCGCAAGGACACACACAGAAAACGCAGTCCCGGGGCATTGGTGGCTGGTTGTGAGCGAGGATGAAAGCGGGTGAGGCTCGCGTGGCCTCTTGCGTTCGTACTTACGATGAAGCACATGAGCCCCACACCCATCTGCTTGTTTGCTGTAGGGAGACACACGTGCCCAGGTGTGGAGCAAAGTCACGCCCGTCCGTGCGTTCAACTCAAATGAGGCTAACGCTAGGGGCATTTGAGAAACGTTGTTAAAAAAAAAAAATTTTACAGCGTGTCCCACGATGTCCCTTTGCATGTTTTACTCACTGCTGTAGCGCGCGAAATTTTGCGAAAAAGCCCACAGCCTCAGTGCAAATGCAAAAAAAAAACTGCCGACAAACTAAACAATTTTGATTTAAAGCTTTCGTGGCTGCAGGGATTCATATTCTTGGTTCTTTCGGTAAAGTCACGTAGAAGGGAAACAATAAAAATATAAAATAATAAAATTCTCACGACGTTTCGACTGCAACACAAGCAATCATCATCAGGTGTGAAAACCACAGCAAGAAAAAACGCCACTTTTTTCAAATTTTCTTGCTGTGGTTTTCACACCTGATGATGATTGCTTGTGTTGCAGTCGAAACGTCGTGAGAATTTTATTTTTTATATTTTTATTATTTTATTGTTTCCCTTCTACGTGACTTTACCGAAAGAACCAAGAATATGAAACTACACAATGTTTTATTTTACAAGGTAAAATAAGGCCCACTGAGCTGTGTAGCTCTCTTTCAGGAGTGACCTGGCCACAACGAAGTGGCTTATCATCACGTGGACATGTCTGGGAGCCAAGTACTCAAAGCACATGACGTTGAGTCCAAATATTGAGGGGAAAAAAAAGGATAATGGGGACTCGGGCGCATTACGCTGCTGTGATTCCGGAATATTTGAATCGACACAGCATCAGAAGAACCTCATCCAAAAGTGAATTTGTTTTTATTCACTATTACTTTTATTCAGTTGACCCACCCGTTGTGCCAGTGTTGCAAATGATTTACGGCAGAGGTTGTTCGATCGAACTGCAGCACGCTGGTCGGTGTTAACTACCTCGCCTGATCCCGACCCTGACGCCTGCTGTATTTTTGGAGTTTCCGTGTCTCTCTCTCCCCGTGGTTGCGTACATTTTTCTCCGGGTCCTCTGGTTTTTCTCTCCGCGTTAAGAATCAACGTCACGCGTTTAGAGTAATTAGCTGCTACAAATTTCCACACGACAAGCCACTTCGTTGAGCTATATACCTCGGTGGGCCTTATCTGGTGAAATTTAAAAAAAATAGATGTTCTAGTGTTTTTGTTTAATTTGTCGATGAAGGCGGTGGTGCGGGGAGAATGGGCGATACCCGGGGCCACATTCGATATCACCCACTACCGGTGTTAGCCGTGATCGGGTTATCAAACTCAGGCCTCCCGAGTTCATCGTCGCAACAGTGCCAATTACTACTCCACAGCTCCAACAGTGACACGGAACGCGGGCGCGGAGAGTTTGAAATGCTTTGCAACTCATTGTGCAGGTGGGTCTGCTGAACCCTTTCCCGTTCCGACGACGTCTGCAAATTGCAGGGTGGGTGTCCCGTTTGCCGCTGAATCTCAGAACGCGCAAAGCGGCTCAGCATTAATTTCATTTCGAGAGGCGTAGCACCTTCGTCTTTTAAAGACATTGTACTCACCGCACAGAACCATAGCGACACGACCGCACTCTATGATAGCTGGCGACAAAATGTGCCGCACGCACTCCCGCATGGCCTTGTGGGAGCCTCGGTACCGATAAAGTTATTTTATTATAGTTTTTCTACCGATTACGTTCCGATAATTAATTAATGTCCACATACATTAAGAGAACTAACTTGAATGGGAACGATATTGTAAAAACAAACAATTATTGGACCCTATGTAGAAGCAGCTGGGAGTCCTTCAACACAGGCGTGTCTTTGGGAATGTTGAGAAGCGATGGGAGGGGGGGCGAGGGGGGTACTCACAAGGGGGTGTGTAGAGAGGGTGGTTGATATAGAATGCCATCCATAACGTGAAGAGCATGTAGTATGAGTAATTCTGTGGGCGACACGGAGCCAACGATTAGAACCGAGAGAAGCTTCACAGCCGCGTGTGCATTGTTGTGCTGCACTCAGTATGTGTGACCGCTCCTTCTGGTGCACGTGGTTGTTGTGTGGTATGCATGCTGAACTTCTTTCGCACCGTACGTCGCCAACCGTGCTAATCGGAGGTGCGGGCGGGGTGGGGTGGGAAGAACAAACTACAACACAACTCGACTGCTGGATGAAGGCTTCCCCCAAGATATCGCTCACGGCCCTACAATGGAACGAGGCATCTAGCTCCTGGGCTTCCCCTTGGGTGCACTCCCTCCACGCAAGGCCGTGTGTAAGTCGTATAGTAAAAAACAAAAACAACAACAACAGCAACATTGTGGCAGACATCCAGGTGCGCGCGTGGCTGCGTATCCATAAGGACCCTGGTGATGCCGCTCCCTCGCATGTTCGTCGTCATCCCCCCATCGCTACGTTCCGGCGAGAGCCCTCCAGCCTTGCCATTCTGGCCTCTTGCTGTGCGTGGCCAAGGTCGAACCTCCGCTCGATGGGCGACCGGGAATTTTTTTCCCAACGCGGGCCCCCAGGAACTCTGGAATTCACTTCCACAAGATATTCGGTGTCCGTCCGCGCCGAGCCCCTGTTCTCAAATGCCTTTTCACTTCCTGCATATTTGTTTTCACCCTAGGGGTTAATTCAGAGGGGTGTCCTTGTCACCGATTCTGCACGTATGTATATTGAACTTCTTTCGCGCCGCACGTAGCCAACCGTTCTAATTGGAGGTGCCGGGGAAGGACAACAAACCAGACACAAAAAGCAGTTTGAAAGGAATGAGTTTGCAATCCATATCCAGTGGCGTCCTACTATTGGAAGGAAGAGCGTTCCAGATGGCCACAGAAACGTATCTGAAAGCGCGCGATGCGGTAACTGTGTTTGTTTGATGGCCAGCCACAAGACGCTGCGGGAATGCCCTGAATTCACGTGATGGTTTAAGCTCCTTGACGAGATCTGCAAGGTATTGCGTGGTTCATTTGTGGCGAGCACTTTTGTGTAATGAGCACGACCTTATAATATATTAATTCGGCAAACGGAAGCCAATGCACTTTGTGATCTCCGTGTGAAAGGTGCTCTCAGAGTGTCAATTATTAATACGATCATTAAATCCACCCTTTCCCACCCTGCCTCGACGAATCGTCGCGATCCATTACGGCGGTCTGATTCAATAGTGAAAAATTCAAAATCTTGTCTCATGGCACCTCTTTGGCGGTATCAAAAGTAAAACAGGTGATAAGATATTCAAACACCAAATATAAACCTTTTTTTGCGAGTGATCAAGTCTGCATTAACCACACACAGAACTTGTGGTGAACATGCAAACATGTTCACCACAGGTACGTGAACATGCTTGCATGTACATATGGTTAATGCAGACTTGATTCTAGATTTGAAGCTTTAGTGACTGGAAGGATCCATACTTTTCGATTTAAAGCTTTCGTGACTGCAATGATTCATCTTCTTTGGTTCTTTCGGTAAAGTCACGTAGAATGAGAATACAATAATAAATTGATAAAATAAAATAACACAATAATATTCTCGCGACGTGTCGGCCACAACACAAGCGGCCTTCATCAGGTGAAGGGACGAGACTGTCTGGTAGGACAGCGCTGTCCTACCAGACAGTCTCATTCTATGTGACTTTACCGAAAGAACCAAAGAAGAGGATCCATACTCTTTGGTTCTATTCGGTAAAGTCACGTAGGTAAACAATCCTTGCAAAAAGGTAATTATTTGGTGTTTGAGCATCCTAACACCTCCTGTTTCATTGCCAGAAAAGGTAAAACCTTTTATTATTTTTCATAATTCTTGTCTTGTTTGTACCATTTTTTTTATTTTCTTATCTCGGTCGTTTTCCCACCCGCATTGTTTCCTTCGCTCCCTGTGTCCGTGAGCCCTGAGATGGGCGATATTAACTGGAGGGCGATATTAACTGGTGAGCGATATTAACTGGTGAGCGATATTAACTGGTGGGCGATATTAACTGGTGGGCGATATTAACTGGTGGGCGATATTAACTGGTGGGCGATATTAACTGGTGCGCGATATTAACTGGTGCGCGATATTAACTGGTGCGCGATATTAACTGGTGAGCGATATTAACTGGTGCGCGATATTAACTGGTGAGCGATATTAACTGGTGAGCGATATTAACTGATGGGCGATATTAACTGGTGGGCGATATTAACTGGTGGGTGATATTAACTGGTGGGCGATATTAACTGATGGGCGATATTAACTGGTGGGCGATATTAACTGGTGGGCGATATTAACTGGTGGGCGATATTAACTGGTGGGCGATATTAACTGGTGGGCGATATTAACTGGTGGGCGATATTAACTGGAGGGCGATATTAACTGGTGAGCGATATTAACTGGTGGCGATATTAACTGGTGAGCGATATTAACTGGTGAGCGATATTAACTGGTGAGCGATATTAACTGGTGGCGATATTAACTGGTGAGCGATATTAACTGGTGAGCGATATTAACTGGTGCGCGATATTAACTGGTGAGCGATATTAACTGGTGCGCGATATTAACTGGTGAGCGATATTAACTGGTGGGCGATATTAACTGGTGAGCGATATTAACTGGTGCGCGATATTAACAGTGGGCGATATTAACTGGTGAGCGATATTAACTGGTGAGCGATATTAACTGGTGAGCGATATTAACTGGTGGGTGATATTAACTGGTGAGCGATATTAACTGGTGCGCGATATTAACTGGTGGGCGATATTAACTGGTGGGTGATATTAACTGGTGAGCGATATTAACTGGTGGGTGATATTAACTGGTGAGCGATATTAACTGGTGCGCGATATTAACTGGTGGGCGATATTAACTGGTGGGTGATATTAACTGGTGGGCGATATTAACTGGTGCGCGATATTAACTGGTGCGCGATATTAACTGGAGGGCGATATTAACTGGTGAGCGATATTAACTGGTGAGCGATATTAACTGGTGAGCGATATTAACTGGTGCGCGATATTAACCGGTGAGCGATATTAACTGGTGAGCGATATTAACTGGTGAGCGATATTAACTGGTGAGCGATATTAACTGGTGCGCGATATTAACAGTGGGCGATATTAACTGGTGGGCGATATTAACTGGTGGGCGATATTAACTGGTGGGTGATATTAACTGGTGCGCGATATTAACTGGTGCGCGATATTAACTGGTGAGCGATATTAACTGGTGAGCGATATTAACTGGTGCGCGATATTAACTGGTGGGCGATATTAACTGGTGAGCGATATTAACTGGTGAGCGATATTAACTGGTGGGCGATATTAACTGGTGGGCGATATTAACTGGTGGGCGATATTAACTGGTGAGCGATATTAACTGGTGAGCGATATTAACTGGTGAGCGATATTAACTGGTGGGCGATATTAACTGGTGAGCGATATTAACTGGTGCGCGATATTAACTGGTGGGCGATATTAACTGGAGGGCGATATTAACTGGTGGGCGATATTAACTGGTGAGCGATATTAACTGGTGAGCGATATTAACTGGTGGGCGATATTAACTGGTGAGCGATATTAACTGGTGCGCGATATTAACTGGTGGGCGATATTAACTGGTGAGCGATATTAACTGGTGAGCGATATTAACTGGTGAGCGATATTAACTGGTGGGTGATATTAACTGGTGGGCGATATTAACTGGTGAGCGATATTAACTGGTGAGCGATATTAACTGGTGCGCGATATTAACAGTGGGCGATATTAACTGGTGAGCGATATTAACTGGTGGGTGATATTAACTGGTGAGCGATATTAACTGGTGAGCGATATTAACTGGTGGGCGATATTAACTGGTGAGCGATATTAACTGGTGCGCGATATTAACTGGTGGGCGATATTAACTGGTGAGCGATATTAACTGGTGGGCGATATTAACTGGTGGGCGATATTAACTGGTGGCGATATTAACTGGTGAGCGATATTAACTGGTGGGCGATATTAACTGGTGAGCGATATTAACTGGTGCGCGATATTAACTGGTGGGCGATATTAACTGGTGCGCGATATTAACAGTGGGCGATATTAACTGGTGGGCGATATTAACTGGTGGGCGATATTAACTGGTGGGTGATATTAACTGGTGCGCGATATTAACTGGTGCGCGATATTAACTGGTGAGCGATATTAACTGGTGAGCGATATTAACTGGTGCGCGATATTAACTGGTGGGCGATATTAACTGGTGAGCGATATTAACTGGTGAGCGATATTAACTGGTGGGCGATATTAACTGGTGGGCGATATTAACTGGTGGGCGATATTAACTGGTGAGCGATATTAACTGGTGAGCGATATTAACTGGTGAGCGATATTAACTGGTGGGCGATATTAACTGGTGAGCGATATTAACTGGTGCGCGATATTAACTGGTGGGCGATATTAACTGGAGGGCGATATTAACTGGTGGGCGATATTAACTGGTGAGCGATATTAACTGGTGAGCGATATTAACTGGTGGGCGATATTAACTGGTGAGCGATATTAACTGGTGCGCGATATTAACTGGTGGGCGATATTAACTGGTGAGCGATATTAACTGGTGAGCGATATTAACTGGTGAGCGATATTAACTGGTGGGTGATATTAACTGGTGGGCGATATTAACTGGTGAGCGATATTAACTGGTGAGCGATATTAACTGGTGCGCGATATTAACAGTGGGCGATATTAACTGGTGAGCGATATTAACTGGTGGGTGATATTAACTGGTGAGCGATATTAACTGGTGAGCGATATTAACTGGTGGGCGATATTAACTGGTGAGCGATATTAACTGGTGCGCGATATTAACTGGTGGGCGATATTAACTGGTGAGCGATATTAACTGGTGGGCGATATTAACTGGTGGGCGATATTAACTGGTGGCGATATTAACTGGTGAGCGATATTAACTGGTGGGCGATATTAACTGGTGAGCGATATTAACTGGTGCGCGATATTAACTGGTGGGCGATATTAACTGGTGAGCGATATTAACTGGTGCGCGATATTAACTGGTGGGCGATATTAACTGGTGAGCGATATTAACTGGTGGGCGATATTAACTGGTGAGCGATATTAACTGGTGGGCGATATTAACTGGTGGGCGATATTAACTGGTGAGCGATATTAACTGGTGGGCGATATTAACTGGTGGGCGATATTAACTGGTGGGCGATATTAACTGGTGGGCGATATTAACTGGTGGGCGATATTAACTGGTGAGCGATATTAACTGGTGGGCGATATTAACTGGTGAGCGATATTAACTGGTGGGCGATATTAACTGGTGGGCGATATTAACTGGTGAGCGATATTAACTGGTGGGCGATATTAACTGGTGGGCGATATTAACTGGTGGGCGATATTAACTGGTGGGCGATATTAACTGGTGAGCGATATTAACTGGTGGGCGATATTAACTGGTGGGCGATATTAACTGGTGAGCGATATTAACTGGTGGGCGATATTAACTGGTGGGCGATATTAACTGGTGAGCGATATTAACTGGTGCGCGATATTAACTGGTGCGCGATATTAACTGGTGGGCGATATTAACTGGTGCGCGATATTAACTGGTGGGCGATATTAACTGGTGCGCGATATTAACTGGTGGGTGATATTAACTGGTGAGTGATATTAACTGGTGAGTGATATTAACTGGTGGGTGATATTAACTGGTGGGTGATATTAACTGGTGGGTGATATTAACTGATGGGCGATATTAACTGGTGGGCGATATTAACTGGTGGGCGATATTAACTGGTGAGCGATATTAACTGATGGGTGATATTAACTGGTGAGTGATATTAACTGGTGAGCGATATTAACTGGTGAGTGATATTAACTGGTGAGCGATATTAACTGGTGAGTGATATTAACTGGTGAGTGATATTAACTGGTGAGTGATATTAACTGGTGAGCGATATTAACTGGTGGGCGATATTAACTGGTGGATTGGCAGCTCAGGGCGTTAGAGCGATGAGCCAGCACCTCTGACCGAGATCCTGGCTCTCAGCCGCCTCCGAATGCATCAAACTCTCCAGCTGTAAGAGAGTCGATGGTCTCAGCCCGGCCAACAACCATGCACCCCGCCACCCCCCCCCCCCCCCCCCCCCCCCCCATCATATTACATTTCATTTTTCACTTAATTTGGATACATTCTAGCTCTGACAACGTGGGAAAGTGCTCCCGTTCTCGTGCCTGAAGGGATCTCAGAAGTAGTTCTGTAATAACACCTTCCGTGCGCCGTTCTCTAGCGCACACGGCGGGGGGGGGGGGGGGGGGGGGGGGGGGAATGTCACACAGCTCTGCCACAGTCCGAAATGGACTCTTCATCGCACGTCACGCCCAGAGTGAGCAAGATTGGAATACACTTAAGGCGGGGGGGGGGGGGGGGGGGTGGGGGGGTGGTGGAATTGAAAAAGATAATCGACATTCATCGATCAGCCAATGCACCCCTAGTGCACGGCCTTGCGTGGAGGTAGCGCGTCCAAGGGGCGGCCCAGGAGCTCGATGCCTCGGCCAATCGCAGGACCGTGAGCGACGATGACACACTGGGGGTGGCCTTCATCCAGCGGTGGAGTTGTGTTCAGTTCGTTGTCCTCCCCCCCCCCGCCCCGCACCTCCGATCGGCACGGTTGGCTACGTACGGTGCGAAAGAAGTGCAACGTACGTACGATGATGACGGCCATAGCAATGATGTCAGAATCACTTTATTTATTGAGACTGGAGGAATTTCGATGAGCTATCAAGCTCTTTTTTTCACAGATGCCCGGCAGAGGCAGGTCAGAACGTCACAATAACAACAACAACAAACAATACAAAAACACAACAGGAGTGTAAACTAGAGGAAAGGTAAGCGAATCACGAATTAATATTTTTCATATATATAATTACAAAACGAAAATGGCCAAGGCATCGGTGGATCCCACCCACCGGCTTCCACTCGCCTTAATCATGTTGCGCAGGGGCATGGTGCCACGGGACGCGATTTGGTGGACGAAGATGGCCTCCAGGAGACACTTGACGTAGTGGAATGTGTGGCAGACAAAGGCCAAGCTGTCCAGAGTGGGGGAGACGCAAGCGATCAGCACGGCGGGGTTTCTCACGACTCCACAGAGCCAGCAGCGTCCTGGCAAACCTCTGCTGGATGAAGGATTCCCCCCCCCACGCCACCGTCAGTCATGGCGGCTGTTCGATCACACCGTAACGAACGCTCGTTAATGTGGGTGGGCGAACGCAACAAGAAAGAATCGCGCACGTCATCGGAAAGGGGTTCATTGGCGGTGGGATTGCGGACGACTTAATCGCGATGGCGTTACGCGTGACGGATCGACACGCGGGCGCGCTCGCTCGCGCAAGGCCCCAGCTGTCGATGGTGGCAGCGGAGGTGGCGGCGCTGGCGGCGGCGCCGGCGGCGCGTACTTACTGCACCACCCTGTGCGCGCTGAGGGTGAAGTCGCTCTCCGACGGGTAGAGGAACGGCGTGCGGATGTAGAAGAGGAAGTAGACGCCGAGGATGCTGAGGTACTTGATGAAGAACACCTGGGGACTCGAGCGAGAGGGTCCAGCGGCGGTGTCAATCGATCAACCGAAACTTTGTGTCTTTAAAAAAGGCACCTTTCTTAAGAAATTTACTGGTAAAAAAAACAAGGCCCCACCGATTACCACGGGTGGCTACATATGGTGCGAAAGACGTTCAACACACATACATACAAAAATGCCTAACCGCCCACCCCTCCGCTGGGCTCAGCCGCCAACCCACCGTGGTCCAGTTGACCTGGGGTCCCAGGTCGTAGAAGTAGAAGGTGGCTGTGGTCCCTACGGGGAGACTCTTCAGGACATCCTCATCCCTCACCGCCTTGCCCTCTGCCCACAGCAAAGACAGAGATCTCTCCCGGTTAGCTCTTAACAACAACAAACGACCAAACAAACAAAAACTCAAACAGATTAATCACTCAAGACGCTTTGGCCTTAAAGTAAAATGTTTTAAGTATATAACTGGCGAAGCTCTGGGCGTTTGCCCTTCTTCGCCCATGCTGGTGTAATGGACTAGTGGCCACGAAAGGTAATGGCAGGGGAATCAGTCTGCAGTACGAATGGACTGGTGGCTACGGGAATGATCGAGAATAGGAGCTTGGCCAGGCGACAGAAGAGGACAGTCGAGTCTGTTGGTAGAGTGAGCCTCTAGAGCTAGCGAGAATGTTTGGGAATGGGGGCGTGACCTCGGACCGTATATAAGGGGAGACTCGGGGTTGTTGCAGTGGTGGTCTCCACGATGATGATAAGAGAGAGACACGCAAGCTCCAAATATACAGCAGGAGTCAGGGTCGCGATTGAATCCACGACCTCCTGTATACCAGGTGAGGTAGTTAACATCTCCTAGCCACCGTGGCACCCCGACTGTGTCCTAGTTCACATTCGAAGTTTCCACCTTCCTAGCTTTCACCTCGCCAATGTGCACTTCTACGTCGCCGCAGGCTCCTTATCTCACAGTAGGCCACAGGATGCCGGGCCACAGCTCAGCGGGCTTTTGGGAGCCACTTCTGGCCCCTGGTGCCACACCGATTGAAGAACCCTGCATGAGCAGAACGCGTCCGTGAACTTGACCTCTGAACGCAGACAGGGAGCCCTCTACAGACCTCAAAAGGACAAAGATCCCCCGTATAGCCTTTAACAGACTGTTTGGGCAAGTGCTGTTGGCGAGTAGCACCTACGAAGGCCGGAACGGCACACGAGGGGGTGGCTGGCCAGCACCACTCCCGGGCCGCCTTTGCCTCCCAGGCGACGACATTTACGCACCCCACCAGTTACTCATTTGAGGCCGAGTTGACCTAGGGGAGGCCCAGGACCGGTTCAGACGGTCGTCAACCGGTGTTAGCGGTGGCCGTGAGCGGGAATCAAACTCGGGTCGTAGCCGGGGTTCGCAGCGCAGCTTCCGAACCGCTGCGCCACTGCTCGCCACGAGCCTCGGTGGCTGGGACGGTGGCACCAACATGGGCAACCTCAATGGGTGGGGGAGCGGGGGGGGGGGGGGTCCGGGGGGCGGGGGGGGGGGGGAAGTTGGCTCGACGCGAGCCCCAAAATACCGCGTGCCCAATCTTAGCCGCTAGCGCCACGGCCAAGCGCCGTCTATTTCTACTCACGAGTATCGCTTTGCACGGCGCTGCAGAGGGCATTCGGCGCAGAGTTCCCGCAGGCCTGCCCCCAAATCCGCCGCAAATCCCCCGCGCCGTTCACGAGTTCTCCTCCCCAGGCCGAACGGGGGCAGGTGCCAGGAGGCGCGCTCCCTACGATTCACTGTTTTAACCAAACAATTTTTTTCGTATTTTTTTTTCCAGGTAAGGCACCGCTGAGCTATTTCGCTCTTTTTAAGAAGCGACGTGGCGGTCACAAATGATAGCTCTCGACGAGGTGGCTTATCATCGCCTTGAAGTGCATACTCTTGAATGTGGGAGGGGAAAAAAAAAAACGGAGGACCCGGACAAGAATCCACGTGACCACGGGCAGAGAGAGACACGCAAACTCCAAATATACAGCAGGCATCGTCAGGGTCGGGATCGAACCCACGGCCTCCTGTATATCAGGCGAGATAGTTAACATCTCCCCACTGCGTCGTTGAAATGCGTGAGCTGTGGTTGACCCTCGTCTGTAGGCTCTTTGGCCAACCCCCCCACCTCAGCTTATCCTCGGGCCTACAGCTAGACATGCAGTACATGGTGGTCCACATGTCTCGTGACCACCCCCCCCCCCCCCCACCCCCAATTTAATCCTCAAAAAACTTTGTATTTTAGCAAGTAAGGTGAATTTAAAATAGAAACTAATAGTCAAAGGAAAACAAAATATTTCAGGTCAATTCATTGGTGGGTGGGGGTCACAAGACATCTGGAGCGCCCTGCAGCGGACTGTCTCTTGCAGTCGGTCGGCCACAGAAGAACTCGGCACCACCGAAGGTAGAACAACACCATCTCAGTGGCACGGCTCTATTGGCGTGGCCAATTGGGGTGAAAATGACCCCGATAGGCCCCGCCCCCCACACTCATTTCACGGGGTTATCGCACAACTCACTGTAAATGTGGATTCACTCTTCAACACACCGGTGGGCTAAAGTAGTGAATTATTTGTCTTTTGTCAACGTGACACTTTTTTTGCTGATTGGCCGTGTCGGGTGGTGGAGGGTTACGACACATTTATAAATAAACGTGATCTAACCCAAAAACCGTTATTATGAATAATATTGGTCGCGAAAGCCTACGTGTTAAACTGACAACTCACTGTCATTGGCCACGTCGAGACATTGGAACCGCTAAAGTTATGCCACCCTCTGGGCTCATGGACTATTTATCTCGGCTGAGCTTGGAGACTCCAGTACTGTAGATGCTGGATATCAGCACAACCGCCTTTGGAGTCAGGCCAGCTGTGCTTATACGAGACGTGTGCTTGTATCAGAAGTTACCCTTCACCCACCCCCCCACCAGTGTGATGTAAGCACGCGTTGCTTATATCAGAACCGTGCTTATATAAGGTGTGCTTAACTCCTATCCCCCTTAGCTGGTAAAGGCTAACACACGCTTATCCCGACGAAGACAATCGCTAACTCATACAATTGCTATCGCAGTTGTGAAAAGGCTGATTAATATAACTCAGCTGGCCATTAGCGACTTTGCTTAGCTTATTTTCTTACCGCCCCCACCCCCCCCCACCACCTATTTTTTATTGTTGTATGTTGTACGTATGTATGTTACACTTCTTTCACACCGTACGTAGCCAACTGGACTATTCGGAGGTGCGGGAGAAGGACAACAAACTGAACACAAAAAGGAGTTCGAAGGAAATGAGTTTCAATCTACATTTAAAGGGTGCCACAGCTCCAGTGACTTCGTGATATCGGAAGGAAGGTCGTCCCAAATGGCCGTAGAAGCGCATCTGAAGGCGCGCGATGCGGTCAACGTCTTTGTTCAATGGCCAGCCAAAAGGCTGCTGAGAAGATAACCCGAATTTTCGTGATGGTTTACGCTCCTTGACGAGATCAGCGAGGTGTCGCGTGGTTAATTTGTGGATAAGCGCTTTGTGCGTAACGAGCGCGGCCTCACAATGATTCCGTTCGGCAACGGGAAGCCAACGCAGGCTCGGCGAGCACCGGACGGACACGGTCGGATATGTGACGGGCATGGTCTCTCCGCTTTGACGAAAATCAACCGGTGGCAAAATTATTGTCAGATCGTCCCACTCCAGTTTGTAAATTTAGTCGCTTTACGTGCCGGAAGCTCGCCGCTCGACCGCGCCGGAACGGTGAGAGAAGGGTTTTAATTCGCCCGACACCACCGCATCCAGTATACACCCTCTCGCGATGGCTGTGGCTACTCGTCACACGTCCCACCCCCTCCAGTTTAACCCTCAAACTCGGTCAAATACGGCGCTGCAGTCCCTGAGAAACGAAGCAAAGGCTGAGTTGAGAGCTTCCAGTTGGAACCGCGAGGAGGAGAAATGTGTGGTATGGACAATACATCGATTGGCACGGCACTTACTTGGGTCAACCTTGAAGCACTGGCGAGACGGATACATCCCAGGATCTGTGACACAAGGCAAGAGGCTTGTTCAGTGATGCACAACTTCGGCACAGACAACAACCGCCGATGTTCAGTGCAGTTATACGATGTTGCTGGCATCCATCGGATATGGTTATGTTGAGAAAAAATACAAAGGTCATGAACATTATTGTTGTTGTTGTTATCCTGCCCTTGAACAGAATCACATTGTGGTAATTATGTGTATATACACATGAACAAACGTTCTCTTGAAATCGCAAACAATAACGAACAAGTTTAAACCACGATACATAAAAAAACGTATGTGAATTGCAAGCCTGCTATGTGAACATCAATTGCTAATTATAGTTTCAAACGTAGTGGTTTCAACCACTTGCATATGCCTCACTGATAACTGCCAGTCACCATAATTTTGCTGCCATCTTTTAGAATTTAGCGAATCTAACTGGAACATTAAATTACGCTCAAACGCTCCAATAAGCCAGGGTTTTCCCCCCAAAACTCAAGGCCTCGCGTCGCACCGTTCCTTTCCCGTCATCTCCCGTACAAATCAGAAATGTCATTTGCGCGCCGTGCACGCCCGATGATGAATAAACACCGCCACCGCGTGACGTAGCGAGCACCCGATTTGAACGGAGGTTCCGTTTTTTATCTTCTCTACCATTTTTGTTGTTGCTTTTGTTGGACGAACACAAGTCAAGTCGGTAGAAGCACGCTCATCTATTTTACAAACGATGAACGCCAGCGTGGAATAAAGGGGGGGGGTCCACCCCCCCCCCCCCCCCCAGATTAGTTTCAAACAAATACCGGACGCGAGAAATTGCGTGAAAAAAACGCACAGCCTCTCTGCAAATGCCAAACAAAAGATGTCGGCGAAATAAACTTTATTTTATTTTACCAGGTAAGGCCCCACTGAACTACGTAGCTCTTTTTCAGAAGCGACCTGGCCACCTTAAATGATAGCGCAACGAAGTTGGCTTATCACGTGCAAACTACAAATATATAGCAGGCGTCAGGGTTGAGATCGAACCCACGACCTCCTGTATACCAGGCGAGGGAGATAACATCTCCTAGCCACCGTGGCACCCCACTCCTTGGAAGTGATAGCTGCCTAGCAGCGGAACGTATCTGAGAGGGCCGTCTACTAAGGAGATGGAGCAACGATGGAGCAACGATGGAGCAAATTCGTGGGGCAGGTTTGCCGGTAGATTGTTGCATCCGTGACGGTGGTTTTTGTTTTTGGGATAGGGCCTTCGTCCAGCCGTGGATTGACCGTGGCTCATGTTGACCGTGAGAATAATGAATGGAGTGAATGAACGAAAGGAGTAAACGTTCGCAGGAACCGATCCGTGTTGACTCTCCGACGGGGTGTCCCTGAGATCTTCGGATCACGTCCTTCTAAGTACTCCGAGGTCAAGGCTCTCTTGCTCGGCTGATGGGGACTTTGCCACTGTTCAGCTACGAAGCTTTGGCACTGCTTTGCGCCTTCGCCAATAGGACAATCGCAATCGTCCGATGTATTTGAAGTCCATTTAACACGTCGGCTTTCGCGACCAACAGCCCCCCCCCCCCTCCGCCTCTGACCTCTGACCTCTGCACCTGATGGGTTCAGTGATGACGTCGTCCTGCTGCTGCTGCTGCTCTATTTGAGACCTGAAGCAGGTGGACGGCTTCGCTATTCTGGCAAATCGCGCGATGATGCTGGGTGATGTCATTACCAGCGAAACGTCACGCTACTCAAATTGTAAACGTTGTGGATTTACTCTCCAACACACCGGTGGGCTGAAGTGGTAACAATTTGGCGCGTTGTGTTTTCGTGACAAATCCCTTACTAGTTGGCTGTGTCGGGTGGTGGAGGGCTTCGACACATTCATACTCACGCGATCGAACCCAAAAAAAAACCTTCACTATGAATATTTGAAGCCCTTGTCTCGGAAAACTCACATCCCTAAACTGGCCCTCGCCACCGCTGACTAGTTCCGGCCGTGCAACACCCTGCAGGCTCTGTCGATTTCCCCTCCTTTCCACACGACGGCGGCGCGTCTCGGTTTGGATCTACGAGCGGACGACGCGCGCCACTTCGCAGCACGCAAACGGCTCTTTGTTGACGTCTCCGGGACGATCTCCGGGGCCGTGTGAAGTCACCGCCAACGCTGCAAGTGCTCACACGCGTCGCGTTCCGAATTTTCCGCTGAGCGCGCGGCATTCCCGTGTCGCGTTACGGCCGAAACACACAGCGCAGCAGATCCACTGCCACCTCCTCCTCCTCCTCTACCCAAAGACAAAGATCCCCCGTATAGCCTCTGACAGACTGTTTGGAGGGGGGGGGGGCAAGTGCTGTCAGCGAGTACAGCACCTTTGAAGGCCGCCACGGCACACGAGAGGGTGGGTGGGTGGGTGGCCAGCGGCACGCCCGACCGCCTTTGTCTCCCCAGTGGCGGTGTTTTTGCACACCGCGTCAGGTACTCATTTTTTTTTTTGGCCGAGTCGAGCTAGGGGAGGCCCAGAACCGGTTCTGGTAATCGTCACCGGCGTTGGCCGTGAGAGCGGGGAATCGAACTCAGGTCGTAGCCGGGTTCGTAGCGCGGTGCGCTAACCGCTCCACCACCGCTCCACCTCCTCTTCTGCCACCACCACCACCACCGCGGCACCTATGGGGTGGCTTCTCCCACCTCAGTCAGTGCACTCCCCAGTCCCGATTTTCCCAGGAACCTTCTCCTATTGAGCAGGCTTGGCCTGGGAAATAAATGTGTAAGGCTTTCCCCAGGACAATTAAAGCATTCCCTGGGGTTTCAGAAATGTTTTTTTTTTTTAACACAGTCCATGTACGTGGTCCTCCCCGGGTTATTCCCATGATAGACCCACGGAGTGTTTTTCTGTTGTTGTACCTCTGAGGTGGCAACTATTGTAACTGATTGATGCTTAGGGCATGGGCTGAGTTTGGTGGGGGGGGGCACTGGTGGTCAAAGCCCCCCCCCCACCAAAACTGGCCACCCTTATTAATTTATTTTCAGTAGTTTAAGATTAAAAATAAATAAATTATATACACCCGCAATTAAAAGCGAACTCCTGCCCCCCATACCCCCCAAATATAGACGTCAAACTCCGCCTGTGGGCTAGGGTGAGAGGCTAAGAGCTGAGGGCCTCGACGGTTCAAGGTTCTGGCCAGTGTGAAGGCTAGTACTAGTGGCTAGTTAGCTCTAGTTAGATGGGTAATGGTCAGTGTGAAGGCTAGTACTAGTGGCTGGATAGCTCTAGTTAGATGGGTAATGGTCAGTGTGAAGGCTAGTACTAGTGGCTGGTTAGCTCTAGTTAGATAGGTTATGGTCAGTGTGAAGGCTAGTACTAGTGACTGGATGGCTCTAGTTAGATGGGTAATGGTCAGTGTGAAGGCTAGTACTAGTCGATAGTTAGCTCTAGTTAGATGGGTTATGGTCAGTGTGAAGGCTAGTACTAGTGGCTAGTTAGCTCTAGTTAGATGGGTAATGGTCAGTGGGAAGGCTAGTACTAGTGGCTAGTTAGCTCTAGTTAGATGGGTTATGGTCAGTGTGAAGGCTCGTACTAGTGGCTAGTTAGCTCTAGTTAGATGGGTTATGGTCAGTGTGAAGGCTAGTACTAGTGGCTAGTTAGCTCTAGTTAGATGGGTTATGGTCAGTGTGAAGGCTAGTTCTAGTGGCTGGATGGCTCTAGTTAGATGGGTAATGGTTAGTGTGAAGGATAGTACTAGTGGCTGGTTAGCTCTATCTAGTTAGATGGGTTATGGTTAGTGTGAAGGCTAGTACTAGTGGCTGGATAGCTCTAGTTAGATGGGTAATGGCCAGTGGGAAGGCTGGTACTAGTGGCTGGATAGCTCTAGTTAGATGGGTTATGGTCAGTGTGAAGGCTAGTACTAGTGGCTGGATAGCTCTAGTTAGATGGGTAATGGTCAGTGTGAAGGCTAGTTCTAGTGGCTGGATGGCTCTAGTTAGATGGGTAATGGTCAGTGTGAAGACTAGTACTAGTGGCTGGATAGCTCTAGTTAGATGGGTTATGGTCAGTGTGAAGGCTAGTGCTAGTGGCTGGATAGCTCTAGTTAGATGGGTAATGGCCAGTGGGAAGGCTAGTACTAGTGGCTGGATAGCTCTAGTTAGATGGGTAATGGCCAGTGGGAAGGCTAGTACTAGTGGCTGGGTAGCTCTAGTTAGATGTGTAATGGCCAGTGGGAAGGCTGGTACTAGTGGCTGGATAGCTCTAGTTAGATGGGTTATGGTCAGTGTGAAGGCTAGTACTAGTGGCTAGTTAGCTCTAGTTAGATGGGTAATGGTCAGTGTGAAGGCTAGTACTAGTGGCTGGAGAGCTCTAGTTAGATGGGTTATGGTCAGTGTGAAGGCTAGTACTAGTGGCTAGTTAGCTCTAGTTAGATGGGTTATGGTCAGTGTGAAGGCTGGTGCTAGTGGCTGGATAGCTCTAGTTAGATGGGTAATGGTCAGTGTGAAGGCTAGTACTAGTGGCTAGTTAGCTCTAGTTAGATGGGTAATGGTCAGTGTGAAGACTAGTACTAGTGGCTGGATAGCTCTAGTTAGATGGGTTATGGTCAGTGTGAAGGCTAGTGCTAGTGGCTGGATAGCTCTAGTTAGATGGGTAATGGCCAGTGGGAAGGCTGGTACTAGTGGCTGGATAGCTCTAGTTAGATGGGTTATGGTCAGTGTGAAGGCTAGTACTAGTGGCTGGATAGCTCTAGTTAGATGGGTAATGGTCAGTGTGAAGGCTAGTACTAGTGGCTGGTTATGTCTAATGCTAGTTGCTGTCAGGCTATTTTGTCAAGGGGAGAGTTAAGAGGCTGGTTAGATAGTTGGTTAGGGAAAGGGTGAGTAATAGCGGCTGTTTGGTTAGCTAGTGCTGGACTAATCAACTAGTTAGGAGTAGGGCTACATTCAAAAGGATGATTGGGAAGCTGGCTTGGGTCACGTGTGGTTGAGTTGGCATTGTTGTTTGGTGCAATTCCTTAATTTGTTTGGTATTTTTCCTTTTTATTTAGCTTGGAA